CCCCCCACAACTACACTATAAATAACCCCTAAATCTTTCATTTTTTCCACACCACTCAATGTCTCATTCTCTCTACCCTCTACTCCAAATCTCTAATCAAATTCTCATTCAATTTATATTTATAATTTATCTATATTTTTCTATTTTTCAATATCATCTCTTTTTCATATTTTTTTTTTCATTTTAATTATTTATGATTTTATCATAAATTCATAATGGATCCCGAAATGATGCATTTGGAGGATTATTCCCAAATGAGTTTTACGTTCCATCCACCGAAGAAATAGAAAGGTTCAATCCATTTTCACCCTTTCATCCAGAGGCAACAACTGCAACTCCACGACCACATTCGGCCGGGACGAGATGTAGCCAAACACATGCGAGTTGCGATTCAACGGGCATGGGCATAGTCCAACCCCCCCGACCGTCAAAGAGGGTCGTGTCCGATGTATGACGACACTTCACCAAATCAAAACGGCCAAAAACAAATGGGGTGGGGGAAGAATTGTGTGGGGTATGTAATTTCTGTGGAATCATTATTGGCGTTGAAAAAGGGACTTTGACGATGCGATGACACTTGGAGAAGAAACACTCCCAAATAATGTAGCTGCCCGGTACATCTTCAACTAGATCAAGTAGGCAAATTCAAACTCAACTTAATTTTAATCCACAATCCTCAACTCTCTCAACATGACAATACAATGCACATGTTGCACGAGAGGAAATAACAAGATTCATAGTTGCTACGGGCTCTCCCATTTGTTTATCTGAAAATCTTTATTTTATTCACATGATTAAAACTGCATTTTGTCCAACATATACCCTTGTTAATAGAAGTACAAGTAGAAGAGATATACTAAAACTTTATAACAAAATAAATAATAAACTTAAAAACGAATTTCAAAATTTTAGGAATATATCTATTGCACTTACATTAGACATATAGGCTTGTAAATCAAAAACTGATTTTTTAACTATCACAATACATTTCTTAGATCATAATTGGGGTTTACAACAAAAATTGATGGGTTTTAAACCGTTATATGAAAAACATAGTGCTGAAACTATTTATTTTATAATTCTTGAAGTTTTGCAAAAATATTTATTAACTGATAGAGTTGTAGTGCTAACGCTTGATAATGAGCTGCTAGCACAATGACAATCTCTTTATTTGAAAAGAGATTGGATCCGCGTGGTGAAGACAATTTTTTTCACCAAAGATGTGCTTGCCACATCATCAATTTGATAGTTAAAGCAGGTTTAGATGCTATACATTCGAAGATGGAGAGGGTGTGCACAGCTATCAGATTTATCATCGGCAGTAGCAATAAAAGATGGCAGGAGTACGTCAAATATTGTAAGCAAGAGGACCCACTGGTTTGACCTTTGAAGTTATGTATGGACATGCCTATCCATTGGAACTTCACCTACTTGATGTTGGAAAAAGTTTTGCCAACCGCGAAACAAATTACAGATTTCGTTAACCGGAAGCACTATGCAGAGGAAGTTGTCAGCTATGATGATTGGGCGGTTTGTGAACCTTTTTATTCATTTCTTAAAAAATTTTATGATTTTACTAATACATTAAGTGGTATTTATTATTCGACTACTAATTTAGTGTTAGATATTTTACTTCAAATTGCTAAAAATTTTGCTAAATATAGATATAATGACGTTTTAAGGGAAATTGTTTCAAAGATGGAAGAAAAATATAAGAAATATTGGTTAGATATTCCATTCTTATATGGATTAGGCCTTGTTGTAGATCCTAGGTTTAAATTACACGTAGTTAATTGTATAATTACTGAGTTAGGCCAACGTTTAGGACATGATTATACGTCTTATTTGACTGACTTTAAGCAAAAATTGGATAACTTTTTTTCTTTATATGAGAATAGGTACAATGGAAGTGGAAGCGAAACGTTCAGGAGAGACGATCAAGACCCTAATGCAGACCTCCGTCAAGGATCGAGTAAGTGGACGTATATGGAACATGGCGGAAGTAGCAGCTCCAACTCATACATACATGGACCAAATGAGCTGAATCGCTACCTATAAGTAGACATGTCCTTCATGACGATGAAGGAGAAACGTGACATGGATATTCTTCAATGATGGAACCAACATAAAAGTCGATTCCCCATTGTAGCCCAAATGGCACTTGACATTTTATTTTTGTGGGTTTCTACAATTGCATCCGAGTCAACATTTTTAACGAATGGCTGGATTGTTGAAGATAGAAGATGTTCTTTAACCGATGAGATGATTGAAGTGATAACGTGTTTACGGAATTGGACTCATGCAGAAAGAAGACTACAACAGCACCTTGAAGATCCTGAACTACTCAAACTCTTTAGGAATACAGATTTGAATGATTTAAATATTGTTGACGATAAAGATAAATAATTTAATTAAAAAATTTATTTAATTGTTTATTTGTGAAACGTGAATGTGTGAAATGTGAATATTACATTTATGTTAAAATTAACTATTAATTTATTATTTTTTAAAATTAATTAAACTTTTAGAAACTTACTAATCTACCCCTGAAAAATACTAAAAACCTCTAACAGAATTTCATTTCGCCCCTAAAATATAAAAAAAGATTAAGGGGGAAAATAAATTTTCCAGGCCCATAGGACCGGTCCGGGTCCTGAAATTGCTCATGGACCTGGGACCGGAACTAGTCCCAAAAGGACCAGTCCCAAACGGGCCCAGGCCCGGGCCTGCTTGGGACTGGTCCTTGACCACCTCTAGGCCTATCCTAGTCCATAAGGCCCAATATTCATAAGAGATGCCCATGTGGAAATAAAGTAAGATTTGCGGTTCTTGAAAAAGATGGGGAAAGTCTTTTGGGCCCAATGTTGGCCCATTATGAGGAGGTTCCCTTTTCCAATAAGAAAAAGAGTTTATGGAAAGAGAAAAATAATTGAATAATCACATTGTTTTGAGAGGGAGGTGGAAGAAAAATAGTTTATAGTTTCTAGTGTGTTTGGTTTGTGAGAAAATTTAGGAAAATGTTAGAATGCTTTTTTTGTTTCTGCTTTTTTAACTTCCAAAAATTTAAATATAAAAAAATAAGTAGTTTGTTGATTGAATAAAAGGTTTTAGTTAGAAATATCGCTCGAACCAAGATGGGAAAAGGTTTGGTTTAAATTTTTACATTTGAAAATATAGAAATAAAAAAGAAAAATTTAGTGAATGGTATAATATTCAGCTAAGACGAGACTGTATAAAGGGCTGCACTAAATAGGAAAAAAATTGTCCCCATCCCCCTCACGGGCTTATGATAAACTGGAGTGTTTTTTGTTGGGGAGGGGTGGACCCCCACAACCTGCCACATGTATTAATTAGGAAGCCACCTTGTGACACATGTCACAAGGTGGCGCTTAATGTTATTGGATAAGGTGGGTAATCTATCACTATATAAGCCCCTACCCTCCAATATTCCGTTTACAATATGCATAGACCGATTTGAGATAATTAATGAGAAAGAAAATAACATATCAACCCCTCTATTACTCCTTTCGTATTTAGGCCATTTACTTTGATATTTATTCTACAATAAGTACATTCTCAGCACGACAAAGTTCTGTAAATATTCTAACTCATCTTTTATTAAAAAACCATATAAATATGTATAATCAAAGATTTAAGATAATTAATACTAAGATAAAAAAAAAAAACTAAAAATGAAGATAATTAAACTTTATAAGGAGGGCACATGTATAATAGGGTAAAACTACTAATAACCGAGGCGAAACCCGACAAAATTGTTGGGTCCTGAGTTTACCGGTCTGACCAACCGTTAAAAGTTTAAAATTCAACAAATATACTTCTAAAAATTTGTTAAGTCCTTACACGTTTGAAATTTAGCAAACACACCCTAAATACAAATAAGCAGTCAACTAGTTGGCAGTGGGGACACATCAAATGCAATCACAGTCATCCATTAAGCCCATTCCCTATAAAATCTACCCAAGATCTGGCCAAAATCGACTTATTTCGACCATATCTCAACAATGTTGACGTCGACTGATTTTAGCCAAATCTCACCAACACTGGCGTCGATTGATTTCGGTCAAATCTCACCATCGCTAGCATTGACAGTCCTCCCCATTACCACGAAAATACTCTCCTCATCATCCTGACCAAAACCATCTCACCCCACCTTCGTTTGCCTTGCCAATCGCCGGTAAAAGCCGACTATTTCTGTCGCTGATTTTTTTTCGATTTTTGGTCGATTCACTCACTTGAAATCATTTTTGTCTCCACCATTGCACTCACAGACCATTCCTCTTCAAAAGCCCAACATCCCGGCCTTCAAATATTCGTCTATCAGTATCTCAATTTCTAGGGTTTTGGGTGAATGGAAAAATTGATAACTCAGCTCGGTGAAAGCCTCGGAACCTGGTTGAACCAATTTGAGCTAGGCTGGGTTTTAAAACATTGACCACTAGATCTCTCACCCAACTAATAGTTTAGGGTTTCAGAAGATTAGTTGAGGTACGTGTAAACTGGTCCGATCACCCCCATCATAAAAAAATACATAATAATAAAGGGAAGATCAAAAGAGAAGGTAAAGAGGAAAGGGAATTTTTATAGTCTTTTTTAAATCTAATCTTTCGTTATATCGACTCTCTTTATTATTATCATTTTTGCTAAGAGTCTTTTTATATATATTCCATAGTGTTTTATTAAACAAATAAGTTTTTAATATAAGTTTGAAGTTTCCAAAGAGTTACTTTAATAAAACAAATTTCGATTAAGACATTTTTAGAGACTTCTTTCAAGAAAAAGAAAATTATTATCCTATTTGATTAAATAGTATCTTAAAAGTAAAATAAACGCAGTCTATATTTTCTTAAAGAAATAATCAAGTCCAAAAAGTAAAAAAAGAGTGTTTGTATCCAATTTGACTTTTTATTTTTATTTTTTTCTGAAATTTTAAATGTATAATTAAGCAAATGTAAATCGTGAAAAAAAGAAAAGAAAAGAATATGTTCAAAACCCAAGAACAAACAAATGTTAAAAAAAAAAAAAATCATCGGACAGAATGCACAGAACTACAGAAGCTTTGATGGACTTCACTCACACCAAACTCCCCCATTTCTTCTCCACTCAATCACCCTTTGCTCCAAGCCCTAGCTAACCATCTCATCCTTTACAGGTATTCCAATTTTCCTGCTTTTGATCTGCAACCTTTTCAGATTCTGAGCTTAAGATTTCTTGGATCTTTGCCAAAGATTTCATTTTCGTTTTGAGTTTTAGTTTTTTTTGTTCTTGTTGCAGGGAGAAATTAAGTTTTAGCTTGTGTAATGAAATCGGTTTTTGAAATATAAGGTGGGTTTGTTTTTGTAGAATATAAGATTTGTGTTTGTGTTGTGTATTTTGTTAGGTTTTAAGATGGTTTGGAAAACTTAAATAAAAATTCAAAACTTTCTTGTGTATAGAAATGGGTTTTTGAATTTAAAGTGGGTTTGTATTTGTTTTGTGTTATTCTGAGGTTTTGTGATGGAAGGAGGGTCAGATTACAACACAGTTCCTCAAGGTCTTATTGATAAAACAAAAGTACTCGAAGTAAAACCATTTCGTAGTTTGTATCCTGTGTTACCTTCAAGTCCTGAAGGACCTGCCTTTGTTTGTGCACCTCCCTATGGACCTTTCCCTGCTGGGTTTTCTCCATTTTACCCGTTTATTGCACCTCAAAATGGGCCTGATTTAAGCCAAAACAACCATTCTAACCAAGCACATACGCCACCTGCATCGTTTGCGGCTCCCATTAGGTCATTTAGGTCACCAGAAATTAATTTTTCGGATGTGTCTAATGGGGATGTGGGGTCTTCTGTTTGGAGAAAAAAAGGTGGCAGGGTTCCTAATTCGCAGGGATCTGGTTCTAGGCAAAAGAAGGCTAAAAAGAGTAGTGTCTCAGATTTAGTGGCATCTGGCAGTAAGGACTTTGCTGTTGGGATTAGTTCATATGAGCGAGATGAGGGTAATACGGAAGTTGTTAATAGTGTGTTGATTAGATTTGATGCCCTTAGGAGAAGACTTAGTCAGATTGAGGATGCAAAAGAGTCTCCTGCGGGGATTATAAAGCGTGCTGATTTGAAAGCAGGTAATATATTATTGACGAAAGGTGTACGTACCAATATGAGGAAGAGGGTTGGAACTGTTCCAGGGGTGGAAATTGGTGATATTTTCTTCTTTCGAATGGAGTTGTGCGTGATTGGTTTGCATTCGCAGTCCATGGCTGGGATTGATTATATGATCTCGAGGGGTGATTTAGAGGAAGAACCGGTGGCATTGAGCATCGTATCATCTGGAGGGTATGATGATGATGCTGAGGATAGTGACATTCTGGTATACACTGGGCAGGGTGGAAATGCCAATAAGAAGGATAAGCAATCATCTGATCAGAAGCTTGAAAGGGGTAATCTTGCTTTAGAGAGGAGCTTGCGTCGGGGTAATGAAGTAAGAGTTATTCGGGGCATGAAAGATGCTATTAGTCCCAACTCAAAGGTTTATGTATATGATGGGCTTTATAGGATTCAAGAATCTTGGATGGAGAAGGGGAAATCAGGTTGCAACATGTTTAAATATAAGTTGGTGAGAATGCCTGGGCAGCCTGGTGCATTTTCTGTTTGGAAATTGATTCAAAAGTGGAAGGATGGTTTGTCATCGAGGGTCGGACTTATTCTTCCAGACCTTACTTCTGGGGCTGAGAGCACACCTGTGTCACTTGTAAATGATGTTGATGATGAGAAAGGGCCTGCTTATTTCACTTATTTCCCTAGAGTTAAGTATACAAAATCTTTTAGATTAACTGAGCCTTCTTTCGGATGCAACTGTCGTAGTGCATGCCTCCCAGGCAATCCAAATTGCTCATGCATGCAGAAAAATGGGGGTGATTTTCCATATACAGCAAACGGGATCCTAGTAAGCCGGAAGCCTATGATATATGAATGCGGTCCCTCCTGTCCATGTACTTCTAGTTGCAAAAACAGAGTGTCACAAACTGGTCTTAGGGTTCATTTGGAAGTGTTTAAAACAAAAGATAAGGGCTGGGCTTTGCGTACATGGGATCCTATCCGTGCTGGTACTTTTATTTGTGAATATGCGGGTGAAGTTGTTGACAAAGTTAAGTCAAGACAAGATGGGGAGGAAGGGGAAAATGATGATTATGTTTTTGATACCACCCGTGTTTATGACTCTTTCAAGTGGAATTATGAACCTGGTTTAATAGATGAAGATGATTGTAATAACTCTACTGAGGAATACGATATTCCATTTCCCCTAATAATAAGTTCTAAGAATGGTGGAAATGTTGCCCGTTTTATGAATCACAGTTGCTCTCCAAATGTGTTCTGGCAACCAGTCATGTTTGAACAAAACAATGAAACCTTTGTCCATATTGCATTTTTCGCAATGAGGCACATTCCCCCCATGACAGAGTTAGCATATGATTATGGGATTGCTCGTTCAGATGAAGGTAATAGTGATAGCCACCGAAAAAGTAAATGCTTATGTGGATCACCGAGATGCCGGGGTTACTTTGGTTGATTTTAAATGTTTGTTGATCTGTGGAGAGGAATGCATGGCAACCATGACCTCGAATAAAAGGTTTGCACTCTCACTCTTGTTTATTTGTATATGAACTTGTAATGACGATGAATAATGTTCGTTTAGTGCTTCATCTTTGATGTTATGATGCTTAGAGTTTGATAAGATGTTATTGATGCTTATTTAAACACACAACTAGCATATCAAATATTTTCGCCTAAATTGTGCAAGTTATCTACTTAAAGGGATCTAGTTTTTTATTTTTAATAATAACATGATAGTGAAGCTTTATCATCCTGCTCTTTTAAAATTAACTTAATCCGTGGGAAGTGCTATATAGTATGAGTACAGTTGCCTAATATGTTGCTCTGTCATTTTGATATGGGTTGCTGTATCATATTTTCTTCTTATATAGTCTTTGTGTGACTGGGTGCAGTGGGTGACAGTTCATCTCCTCAACCCTGCCAAGTTGCCATCCACCCTTGGTGGTCCTGGTAACTAGGTTCTTTAAGAATTTTTTTATTATCTTCTTGTTATATATATAATGGAAAATAGTACTCACTTGGTTCTGTGTTGGAAAACACCAAATTTCTTTATCTTGAAACAACAAAAACAGATTCATTGATTTGGTACTTGGGATGTGTACTTATTAGGGCTGTTTATCGAGTTTGCTGATGATCATGTAAAGTTGGTTAGTTGCAACTTTAGGGTTTAATTGTGATTGATGTTGAAATTATTTTCTTTTAACGATAGGGTTAAGAGTTTGATTGGAGAAACCAGGGGTTGGTTGTGATTTGATTTGGTAGATGTATAGAAGAACTAGAGATTAAAGAAAAAGAATAGAAGATAAAATCTAGGCGGCACAGTAAGAAGAGAGGTGCACACTCCGACAGAACATTATGAATGCCCTTGTAAGCAAAAATTAAATTTACAGGATATTGTTAACTATCAAAAATTGAGATAACTGATGCAAAACTGACTTAAAAACATTCTATTTTAAAGACATACAAATTCAAGGCTTAACTTTGTCTATAGTTAATTATTCAAGGTCCCATACTACTCTAGGATTTTGTAGTAATTCGAAATTAAAGCTTGGGTGTTGAAACTATCTATTCCTCACTGCTTAAAAATTTCTGTTAGACACTGGCAGCAGCACTCACCATCTTGTGGCTTTCACGGGTTTGAAGAACTTTTACTTTCTAATGCTTTGTTTAATTTTAACTCTGTATGTTAGTTTTGTTTTGTTTGTTATCTTTGTGAAAAATGATTATAATTATGCCTTCGTGTGTCTTTCCGTCATTGTGGGTGCTTCCATTTATCATATGTGATATTTGATCTTATCATTGTTGTACTCCTTGTATTTTTTGTTGGGAAGTTTGAAGCTGATGCTCTTGCTAACTGAAGGTCCATGTTGCTAGAATATTTCTTTGGGAATTTATAAAGAACAAAGAAGTGTTCTGGAACTACTTTCAGAGTGACGTCTATAGAGAATCAAATAGATGGGTTCTTTCCTGCAATCCATTAGTCTTATCCTATTTTATCTTAAAAAATCTTCTTTTTTCTTTCTTGCTAAATCATCCAAAGAGGAGCAAAGATTGCACACTCTATAGGGTATTGGCTCTGTTTCTATGTATTTTTTGTTTTCTTTGTCCCAAAAATAAATATATTCTTCTTAAGCTCAGAACAAGAATGTGCTGATGCACAAGATCTTAGTTTACTCGCACAATTTGGCCCATAAGCTTGTAGCCACTTTACAATACAGAAAAAAGGTGATTAGTTGTTCCTTCATTTCTTCTTCACTTCAGAAACCAAGAGAGACAAAGGTTTATTAAGGTGTTCTTGTATTAACTTTTCCTAAAGCCAAATCCCGTACAAAAACTTGAAATTTTAGGGGTTTTGTAGCGTTTCAAATCATCTTGTGAGGTTTCAAATCCTGCACGAAAACTTGGACTAACAAATATCAGCATGTCCCTTTCTAGATGATGATTTGTTTCTTATAACAAATAAAATTATCAAGAGAGATTGTAGCTGAATATTACTGTAATTGCCTATCCTGGCTGCTTGTCTCTTCATATTGCATAATTTGCTGTGAATTTAGGCCTTGTTTAGTATGCAGAATTAAATTTTACAGGAGGGGATTGTATATATATCAATTTCGCGTGTTTTTTTTTTAATTGTTTATTTGTGATAATAATATAAATTATTATCATTTCAAATATTATACCTATTTAAATTTACCATTAATATAGATAACATATTAATTTGTTAGCCACAATTTGTGTGAATGCCTTCACTCATGGTTCCTGTGCATATGTTATATTCATATTTTACTTTAAAGAGAACCCCGGAAGTATCAATTGCCGGAATTTGTTCACTCTTATCACTGCTGTTAACTGTAGCATCGTCTTTGTGCAACTATGTTGCGTTATGTGGCTTTTTTTTTGTTTTTTTTTTTCAGTTTTAATGTTTATCATTGACTAATAACCTTCCTCCATACTTTCTTTAGGATGTAGCTGTCACTCCCGAGCACATCCAAAAACTGTGCCAGTTATCGAGTGCGGTATTTCCAGGTAAATGGGCACACATTTTCTATTGCTGCTAGGTTAGCCGGGTAGGTCACATTTAGCTGTCAATGGCTCCTTTTGCTGATGGATGTAGCCAGTGATTCTAACTTCATAGGTTGCTTAATAGCCGAGCTTTTTATGCCTGAAACGGTATTGTGACATCAGATTTCATAACTGAGATTAACAATTGTTGAATGTGTATTTATGGTGTAACAGTATCTTCTGAATTGGAATGATTAATCTGCAGTTGTGTATTGAAATTGTGGCAGCAGGCGTAGTATTATTCTTGAGATAGAGATAGAAGTACAAGAGTTGTGCAGGGAACCCAACTTATTAAACACATCTCCAAGAAATCTACTGAATAATTAAAACCAGCTACCTAACTTGAGTATAAGAAGTGCCCGTGATGGCTCGGCATATATGAAACACCCGAAAAATCACTATGTACATAGCAAGAGCTTCCCATACGGTAGATAAACTATCTGAAATGAAACCATACCACAGTAGTTAATTTAAAAATAATGTAGATGTTTGCAGAAGAGACTTCTGGTCAGAAAATTTTATAAAACTGAAAATCTATTAAACGCCAATATCGTATATTGATATTATCCTCAATGTCCCGATTAAAAAGAATCAGAATCAAAATAAACTTCAACTGATCTTTATACCATTTTCATTTTGCCAACATAATAATATAAAAATGGTAAAAACAGATGAGGTACCAAAACCACCTTGTTCTCAAGAGTTGATAAGGAGACGATCCAATAGCATACTGCATACAATTAACCGGCAAAACAGCCCTAAAAAAAAAACGAGATCATAATACTATCAATCTAAGAAACTAAACTGCCAAATCCCGAATTCCAAATAACTAGATATTTTTCCGGGTTTGCTTTCAGGCTGTACTGTTATGGAAAAAAGTAAATCCCAGACTTATTCAAGAAAAGAAAAAACGTTTCGATTTAATTTAATGGAGGTTTTCATAAATTATCATTGAGATTTGCATTAATTTTAGGTGAATAACGGAATTCCATTTTATTAAATAACAAATCACCTTTGTTTTTGTTGTTATTTTAATTTTTATACATAATATGTATTGAAATAAACAAATCTTTTATTTTCTAGTACCTTTTTGTAAAACCCAGTTATTAATTAGATTTTTGTAATTTAAAAAATTTAAAAAACAAAAATAAATGATTTTCCCCGCTGACATTATTATCCTATCACTCTCAAAATCATTTTGGCCGAGTAGGTTACTTCCTTAAACCTCAGGATCTGGGATGGTATTTTCCCTTGCACAAGGCGGCAAGGCTTGAGTAGGGGGCGCCATTGTTAAATTCACACCAGACTGTTGGCAAATCATTTTAAATTACAATATAAATCAAATAACAACCTCAAATTCTTGTATATTTTGTAAACAAATTAATCTCCATTGCAAATGGAGATGGAGAATTTTACAAGAGGAGATTTAGTGTGGGTGAGAGTAGTGTACCCTCGCCACTGGTGGCCAGGTCTCGTTCTCTCAACAAACCCTCTTGGCGTTTTAGTTTCTTTCTTCGGTTGCCTAAAGCCCCGTTACTTTCTTGAATCAGAAATATCTTCTTTTGAACAAAACTTCACAACCCATATCAAGAATTGTAAGAACAACACCTTAATCGATCTTGCCTTGAAGTTCTTGGGCCAAAAAATGGCACGGAGCTTGACATTGCCGCTCCAATTGAAAGAAAATAAATGTTCTAGTCCCTGGACTTTGTTTCAGCCTAAAAAAATTCTGGGTTTCGTTCGGAGTTTTGCAGTTTGGCCTAGGGTTCAAGATGGCGATTTTGTTTGTGCAGTCAAAGTGTTTGCACAAACTACTGCTTTTAGGCATTATTTGGTTAAATCAAGTATGTGATTTTTTGACCTTTTTATTTTTTATTATTATTTGGTTTTTGATTTGAACGTCGAAAAATCTTTTGAATATAAGTTATAATCTTCTTTATGCTAATGATAAATGCTGTTAATTAGATGCTGGAGATAGAAGATGGGATTTGATTTTCAAAAGATAAGTGAGTGTTTGACAGGATATAATTTTCTTGGTTTATTTGAGAAAAGAAGCTTTGTGCATTTAAAATTTGAAATTTAAGACCTTAAGCCTTGAATTCTAATTAGTGGTATAATTGAGTAAATCAATTTAACTCATAGGGTATTTGATGAAAAGAATAATATGTTCTCACTTCACCTGTGGAATTTCTGTTCTTAATTGATGATTAACAATGAATAAGGCCTTTCTTTGTCTGATTTATCCGGTTCTCTGATCGTCTCTCATGTAATGTTGCACCCCTCGGCATTTATTATTTTACTAAAGTGAAGTTCTTTCTGCTTGGAATTTTATTCAGATGTTCATTCCAGAGTGCAACCAGGCCAAGTTTCGGTTGAGAAGACAAATTCAGTTGCCGGGGAACTGGATACTTCAAAAACAGGGGAGGATTGTCTGGTATTCTGCAAGGATGTAGAAAAGAATTTGCCTGATTACTTTATAAAAGTAAACAACATGGGTAATCTTTTGCAAACAAAATCTCTAAGGCGTTGGGATGAAGATCAGCTTGATATCAGTTCAATGACTCAACCTGAACAACAGAAAACTCAATCAGTTCAAGGGATGCTGGTCAAACTGCACATTCTAGCTCTGGATCCATTTTGTTTAGATGGGGAATGTCTGAGTAATTTAAAGAGGAGTTTTTATAGCTTCCGAAATTTATCATTCCAGAATATCTGTGAGACCATTTCTGAGGCATGCTTTCCTCTTGAAAGGGGTGAAGCTCAATTTTGTAATCCTGGCTATATCACGTCTCAGTTGGCTGTCACCATTTACGGAGAAAATCAAAAGACTGCTCTTCCTGTTATACCTTGTATGAAAAGTCCTGTCAACTGTCTGGGTTTAAAGAGGCAGCTGGATCAATATCCCGTTTCTGAACCTCCTTTAAAATTGCAGAAGACATTGTCTTTCTCAATCAATGGAGTTGATGCTAATCTTTGGAGAAGTAGAAAAGAACGTTGTGCTGTTCTTTCTGATGTTTTCATTTCAAGGAAAGGTTTTTCTGATCTTTTAAAACTTTTCAACACTATGCCTTTCTCTGCTAATGTGGCTTATGATTATCTTCGAAGAAATATAACTGGATGCAAGGCAGAATTATTTGATGCATTCTTTTCTGGATCCCAAGTGATGTTAAAACCTCAAAACCTCTCTTCTGCTGCAGCTCAAAGTTCTACATATATATGCAATGGTAGCTTGATGAACTTGATTGAAAATATACTCAGCTTTTCCCTTGTAAAGCACACATGTCATTGTAGTGACACTGCTGAAATCTGTATGGTTCAGAAACTGGATGGAAATTTTAATACCCTATACAATAGTGGTGCCCCCCCTTGTTCTGCTGATATACAGAGAGCTCAAGCAAGTGAAGCCATTCTGAAAGATGATGGCACTCGCATATCCTGCCCTCATGATGCTACAGAGAACATGCTGGAATTTTCTGCTGCTGAATCAGTGTCTGATTATATAATTGGGAATCGTACTTATAATGATGAGGTTGGTGATGTAACTGTGGGAACCACTGCTGATGAACTGAAGATGCCGCATACCAATAGAGAGTTAAGTGTTAACATGTCTTTTGGAGACAGATTTAAGGAGGATAATAAGCTCTCACAACCGGTTAACTCTGATTTAGCATTGAAGTTGAAACAGGGAAAGCTCTCTGAGGTACAAAGTACTACTGTTCTTTCTAAAACTTTGCACATAAAATTTCCAAAGGATTATAATCTGCCATCCAAGGAGGAACTGGTCAGAAAGTTTAGTCCATTCGGGAGAGTTGACCCTTTGAGTACAAAGGTCTACTCTTATACTGGTTCTGCTCGGGTGGGATTCTTAAACCAACTTGATGCGGTAGCTGCATACCAATATGCAAAGAGGAAGAAGAATATATTTGCTAAACAAAATGTGAAATTTTGGCTTGACCCTTTTGATGATAAGAGAGGATACAAGAGGCTACTTACCTCTCCAGAATCCAACCTAAAATCATGTCTTAAAAAGTCGAAGCAACTCGAGGAAGAAGATAAAAGATCTCCCAGGAAGGTAAGGTTTCTGATAGAGACCTAGATCAGTTGATCCATACGAAAACTCGTATTGTAGATATTTCGTAGCTGTAGCGAAATCTTTCGACACTAGACCTCAAATTAGCTCATCATAGTGGTGATCAAATCTTCATGCGTTTGGTGAAATGCAACCATTTTTGCGGACTTTGATGTAAGTCACTAACTGTAAATGATCAGATTTAGGATTTGATACGCAAATGTTTTTGGTATTTTAAGTCACTGGGTCTGAGAATTGAAGTTATAACTATTGCTTGGTATACTTCTTGTGACTTGTGAAATCCACATTTCATTGGTGTTTAAGTTAACACGAAAATTAGTTTGATAAAAATCTAAAATATATATTTTTTTTTCTAAGAAAATACTATTCGCTCAAATCCAAATGGAGGTGTCGTCAAGCTGCTTTTCTCAAATTCACTAGTCCAAATAAGTACCGTGTTAGATTATCAGTTTTACTGTATCACATTACAGTATATAGTAAACAATAAAGCTACACCGAAAAACTTGCACCGAAATTGTGTACCAGCTTATGTGTAACATGCTTCTAATTTTTTTAACAATTTTTTTTAGTTTGGACGGTCGTTCACTCACATGGATGCCCGTCCATATTATATGGACGGGATCCATATATAAGAGACGGACGTCCCTATTTAAAAGATGTCTATCCCTGAATAAGATACAATTAAACAAATTTGTTAAACATTAAGGACGGCTGTCTATCCATTATGGACATTCATCCTTAACCCATATATGAAAAAAAAAAAAAAATTTGGGAACGGTCGTCCTTTAAGTTTGGACGGACGTCCATTAGGAATGGATGCCCATCCCTTAAGTTTGGGGCGTCCACGTTCCGGCCGTCCGTTATTTTGGTTTTTATACAGTGAGTGCGAGAAACCATGCATGCGAGTTTTTGTTCAGAGAAAGTCCCCTTTTTTTGCAGTAATGTTTTGAGAGTGCCGACGTCCATGTACTCCATCACCATGGCAATATCCCCTGACGGTTTTTCGAACACGCCGTGGCACTGGACGACGAAAGGAGAGTCGGTACGGTGGAGGATTTCCATTTCGCGGAAGACTTGGCAGTGGAGGGTGGAGTCGCTCTCGCCGTGGACAACTTTCAAAGCAAATATCTTGTCAGTCCGTTTATAACGGACTTTGTAGACAATTCCACCATTTCCGTGGCCGAGGACTTGTAGCCTCCAAGTCTGCGCATGTTATGGCGGCGGCCACGGCGGCAAAATTGCCGTAGAGGGCGACAGCTGGAGGGAGAGATAAGGGGAGACGTGGGCAACGGTCGGATTCTGGTAAAGGTGCTAACTGTGCTTCTCTTGACGGTGGAGCCTGGCCGGGCCATAAGTTGCGGACAAGTTGACTCAGCTCTCGCTCACTGCTTGGAGTTTCTCACTGGCGGACCAGGCCCCTCACCGGTCTGCTGCGACGGTGTCATGAATCTGAAAGCAATGACTCCAACCATCGGTGATAGACGAGCAGCCTGTGAGTGTATGAAAGAGGCTGCCGGTCACTATGCCAGCCTCAAGTCGGACAAGGCCAGCCAACTTCCACAAGCTTGTGGCGTTCAGATCGGCGTTCCCATCACCAAGGACGTCGATTGTAGCACGTGAGCTTCTGTGCATTTGCATTCTGCATAATTCTAACATTCTACGATATAACATAATATTCTCTTACATATTTAACGTCATTTTAACTTCTTTTTTTCGTTAATATGCATGCTAATTAAATTTTGGTTTGATTTGTTGGGCAGTGTTCCTTAGAAGGTTTTCATAAATTATCATTGAGATTTGCATTAATTTTAGGTGAATAACGGAATTCCATTTTATTAAATAACAAATCACCTTTGTTTTTGTTGTTATTTTAATTTTTATACATAATATGTATTGAAATAAACAAATCTTTTATTTTCTAGTATCTTTTTGTAAAACCCAGTTATTAATTAGATTTTTGTAATTTAAAAAATTAAAAAAACAAAAATAAATGATTTTCCCCGCTGACATTATTATCATATCACTCTCAAAATCATTTTGGCCGAGTAGGTTACTTTCTTAAACCTCAGGATCTGGGATGGTATTTTCCCTTGCAGAAGGCGGCAAGGCTTGAGTGGGGGGCGCCATTGTTAAATTCACACCAGACTGTTGGCAAATCATTTTAAATTACAATATAAATCAAATAACAACCTCAAATTCTTGTATATTTTGTAAACAAATTAATCTCCATTGCAAATGGAGATGGAGAATTTTACAAGAGGAGATTTAGTGTGGGTAAGAGTAGTGTACCCTCGCCACTGGTGGCCAGGTCTCGTTCTCTCAACAAACCCTCTTGGCGTTTTAGTTTCTTTCTTCGGTTGCCTAAAGCCCCGTTACTTTCTTGAATCAGAAATATCTTCTTTTGAACAAAACTTCACAACCCATATCAAGAATTGTAAGAACAACACCTTAATCGATCTTGCCTTGAAGTTCTTGGGCCAAAAAATGGCACGGAGCTTGACATTGCCGCTCCAATTGAAAGAAAATAAATGTTCTAGTCCCTGGACTTTGTTTCAGCCTAAAAAAATTCTGGGTTTCGTTCGGAGTTTTGCAGTTTGGCCTAGGGTTCAAGATGGCGATTTTGTTTGTGCAGTCAAAGTGTTTGCACAAACTACTGCTTTTAGGCATTATTTGGTTAAATCAAGTATGTGATTTTTTGACCTTTTTATTTTTTATTATTATTTGGTTTTTGATTTGAACGTCGAAAAATCTTTTGAATATAAGTTATAATCTTCTTTATGCTAATGATAAATGCTGTTAATTAGATGCTGGAGATAGAAGATGGGATTTGATTTTCAAAAGATAAGTGAGTGTTTGACAGGATATAATTTTCTTGGTTTATTTGAGAAAAGAAGCTTTGTGCATTTAAAATTTGAAATTTAAGACCTTAAGCCTTGAATTCTAATTAGTGGTATAATTGAGTAAATCAATTTAACTCATAGGGTATTTGATGAAAAGAATAATATGTTCTCACTTCACCTGTGGAATTTCTGTTCTTAATTGATGATTAACAATGAATAAGGCCTTTCTTTGTCTGATTTATCCGGTTCTCTGATCGTCTCTCATGTAATGTTGCACCCCTCGGCATTTATTATTTTACTAAAGTGAAGTTCTTTCTGCTTGGAATTTTATTCAGATGTTCATTCCAGAGTGCAACCAGGCCAAGTTTCGGTTGAGAAGACAAATTCAGTTGCCGGGGAACTGGATACTTCAAAAACAGGGGAGGATTGTCTGGTATTCTGCAAGGATGTAGAAAAGAATTTGCCTGATTACTTTATAAAAGTAAACAACATGGGTAATCTTTTGCAAACAAAATCTCTAAGGCGTTGGGATGAAGATCAGCTTGATATCAGTTCAATGACTCAACCTGAACAACAGAAAACTCAATCAGTTCAAGGGATGCTGGTCAAACTGCACATTCTAGCTCTGGATCCATTTTGTTTAGATGGGGAATGTCTGAGTAATTTAAAGAGGAGTTTTTATAGCTTCCGAAATTTATCATTCCAGAATATCTGTGAGACCATTTCTGAGGCATGCTTTCCTCTTGAAAGGGGTGAAGCTCAATTTTGTAATCCTGGCTATATCACGTCTCAGTTGGCTGTCACCATTTACGGAGAAAATCAAAAGACTGCTCTTCCTGTTATACCTTGTATGAAAAGTCCTGTCAACTGTCTGGGTTTAAAGAGGCAGCTGGATCAATATCCCGTTTCTGAACCTCCTTTAAAATTGCAGAAGACATTGTCTTTCTCAATCAATGGAGTTGATGCTAATCTTTGGAGAAGTAGAAAAGAACGTTGTGCTGTTCTTTCTGATGTTTTCATTTCAAGGAAAGGTTTTTCTGATTTTTTAAAACTTTTCAACACTATGCCTTTCTCTGCTAATGTGGCTTATGATTATCTTCGAAGAAATATAACTGGATGCAAGGCAGAATTATTTGATGCATTCTTTTCTGGATCCCAAGCGATGTTAAAACCTCAAAACCTCTCCTCTGCTGCAGCTCAAAGTTCTACATATATATGCAATGGTAGCTTGATGAACTTGATTGAAAATATGCTCAGCTTTTCCCTTGTAAAGCACACATCTCATTGTAGTGACACTGCTGAAATCTGTATGGATCAGAAACTGGATGGAAATTTTAATACCCTGTACAATAGTGGTGCCCCCTCTTGTTCTGCTGATATACAGAGGCCTCAAGAAAGTGAAGCCATTCTGAAAGATGATGGCACTCGCATATCCTGCCCTCATGATGCTACGGAGAACATGCTGGAATTTTCTGCTGCTGAATCAGTGTCTGATTATATAATTGGGAATCGTACTTATAATGATGAGGTTGGTGATGTAACTGTGGGAACCACTGCTGATGAACTGAAGATGCCGCATACCAATAGAGAGTTAAGTGTTAACATGTCTTTTGGCGACAGATTTAAGGAGGATAATAAGCTCTCACAACCGGTTAACTCTGATTTAGCATGGAAGTTGAAACAGGGAAAGCTCTCAGAGGTACAAAGTACTACTGTTCTTTCTAAAACTTTGCACATGAAATTTCCAAAGGATTATAATCTGCCATCCAAGGAGGAACTGGTCAGAAAGTTTAGTCCATTCGGGAGAGTTGACCCTTTGAGTACAAAGGTCTACTCTTATACTGGTTCTGCTCGGGTGGGATTCTTAAACCAACTTGATGCGGTAGCTGCATACCAATATGCAAAGAGGAAGAAGAATATATTTGCTAAACAAAATGTGAAATTTTGGCTTGACCCTTTTGATGATAAGAGAGGATACAAGAGGCTACTTACCTCTCCAGAATCCAACCTAAAATCATGTCTTAAAAAGTCGAAGCAACTCGAGGAAGAAGATAAAAGATCTCCCAGGAAGGTAAGGTTTCTGATAGAGACCTAGATCAGTTGATCCATACGAAAACTCGTATTGTAGATATTTCGTAGCTGTAGCGAAATCTTTCGACACTAGACCTCAAATTAGCTCATCATAGTGGTGATCAAATCTTCATGCGTTTGGTGAAATGCAACCATTTTTGCGGACTTTGATGTAAGTCACTTACTGTAAATGATCAGATTTAGGATTTGATACGCAAATGTTTTTGGTATTTTTAATCACTGGGTCTGAGAATTGAAGTTATAACTATTGCTTGGTATACTTCTTGTGACTTGTGAAATCCACATTGCATTGGTGTTTAAGTTAACACGAAAATTAGTTTGATAAAGATCTAAAATATATATTTTTTTTTTCTAAGAAAATATTATTGGCTCAAATCCAAATGGAGGTGTTACCAAGCTGCTTTTCTCAAATTCACTGGTCCAAATAAGTGCCGTGTTAGATTATCAGTTTTACTGTATCACATTACAGTATATAGTAAATGATCTTATAATGTTTATCAAACCGACAACGTAACTTATAATATTTTAATTACATCGAATGAATAACCCTTCTTTCAGTCATGGCCATCCTTGTAAGAACCTAATCATGTCTGTTTAATTAAACAGGTATAGCCTTTCCTTGTCCAATTGGACTTTTCACTCACCCTTACACGATTAGATCTCCCCGTTTCTTGAAAGATGCAGCATAAGCTAAGGACGATATTAGGAGAAAACCATTTAACAATCAAGTAAAATTTTACCTTTTCTTCTTTCTTTCTTTCTATTATCAACAAATACAAAGAATATGTTGAGGTTAATGATGTACAGACAATCTGGAACATATAAACCTCATGAATGATTTACATCTTTGTTCTACAAAAGAATTTTAATGAGCATTGGTCATTCCCCCACCACCAAAATAAGTCAAGACCAACCCTTCACTACTACATTCTGCAAAACCTCGCTGAGTCTTCAGGATGCCACGCCACCTACCATTTAATACTTTTCCTCTTCAAGTACAAGAATTCTATACAATACCACCATAAAAATAATTCATACAAGACCTGAACTCCCTTTGTCATCTGCTCCGCTTCAAGTCAGACAACAAAACTGACCAAAGGATCCATGTTTACAAGTACTCAGACATGAATCTCAAGCTTCAATAGCATTAACTTCATCACCACATACAATTCACTCCAGAAAATTACTAGTGGCTACTGCACACGGAGGTTGGAGCTTATTTTACACGAAATTCATGTCTAAATACAGTCAGATTCTGGGTGAATTTGTCCCTATTCTTTGAATCCAAACTTCGTGTAACATCCGCCATTAGTTTATCAAAACAAACTGAGAGTCTTTGATGTTGATCCACCGGCTGCAAAACATGATGCAAGTAAGTCAAATCAAGGATGACATAATTATAAGATAAAAACTAAATTCCCTTAGTAATTGCAATTTCAAACCATAGATCAGTAATTTTCTAGTTATAAATTGCAATTGTCAATTGATTTACATACAGTGAAAAGTGGAATTCCAATTACCAAACCCTTCAGCATTGGATAGCAAAATCTCTTCCAAACAGACAAAATACAAAGACTAAAAAATACCACCTGGTGTTCATACTTTTAATATTTGCTTCCTTATCATTCAATTGACTGTCGCTTATGCTTTATAGTAAAAGTTTACCAGATTAGTTTCTCCTTCCCCTAATCCAGAGCCTCTCCAATAATAAAAAGAATCAAAAGTACACAGACAGAGATCAGAACACTTTTATCCTATACTCGAATAATTATTAACCCAACTAGAGATTCACTACACAACTCTTTTTAATGATTTAGATCTATCATAAAATATATCATTATTTAAGTCCTTCTCTAGTTATTTGTTGCCTTCTCCATTTTTTATTATTAAGAAGAAATATCATTATTTAGGTCCTTCTCTAGTTATTTGTTGCCTTCTCCGTTTTTTATTATTAAGAAGAAGTTTGAAGTCATAATGGCTTGATTTTCATTTTTTCATTTTCCTCGTTCTTTTCCATTCCTGTTCACTTTATCTTTCATGTATTTTCCATTATTAATTTTGTTGCCATCTACTAGAATCAACTCACTCCATAACTTAACTCTATGTCAGAACCAATTTTTTTTCTTTTCTTTCCTTTCTTCTTTTTGTAATCATTTTTAAAAAGGGGCTAAACTCACTAGAAATTTGGCTAAAACAGTTCTTTGAATGCTTTTCCATGTATGGGATTTTTATTCTCACCAAGGTACATAAGAAGGATCAAGCATTTAAGAATTAGCTAGCTGCAGAGATATGCACACACATGTATGCACAACAAAGATATTGGGAACTCGAAATTTTAAATGGAATCTGGTATCTTCATCAAATGATTGATTAAAATTTTAAGGTGTCATAAAAAGACTTGAGCATCGGGTATCAGATGTATCAAAATGGGAAAAACTGATTTTACCAACTTTGTACAGATGAAGATTGTTGAACTTACCTGTGAAGCCAAAATTTGAGCTTTTAAATCTGAGAATATCTGCAGACGAAATTTAGATTTTCTCAGTCAAGGATAGAGTACAAGAGTAGAGATTGCATCAGCAGTCAAATTCACATTATGATTATATATAAAGGTCAGAATCTTGTGCCTTAAAAATTTAACGTAAGGAGGGTAAAAAAATCCCAATTGTCTAGCTATTCTAAAACAATTAAATAGAAACTTGCTAAATACTACTTTTTGACTGCATTTAGTTCCAGGTTCAGTTGCTTTTCTTGTGCAAAGTGCAAACTCAAAACACAGTCGACCCCAAACCATTAAGTAAAAGAATGCAAAAACAATAATTCCAGAAAATGAACAAAAATAATAAAACAAAAACATCACTGAAGTACCCATAGCGCAGACTTCTGACACAGCCAAGTTGTCTTATATTAGTACTCTTATAGTGGTATTTCTCTCTTTGAAAAAGCCATGAGATTGTCAATAAAAATATCCTAGGATGGATATTCACATTAGCCATTCACCCTAACCAAGAACCATTTCATCTCCACCATATATGATAGGAAAGCAAGACTTATAACAAAATGTGAAACATAAAGCATCATTTATCAGTGACTGATCCGAAGAATGCAATTACCAAAATAAACACATTGACTTACAGTAACACAAGTAAAAGGAACTTGTCCTACTTATGCTCTTCCTAGTAATAATAATCATTATTAATTTATTTTATTTTGTTTTCATTTCAAAATCCATCATCAGTAATATATGATGAAAAACTTTAAATTTTAGAAAACAAGGATGTTATGGTAGATGATGCATGTGAGAACGTAACAGAATATCAAATACCATTTGTTATTCCCTTAATGACTAGTCTGAATAAAGGACATGTCTAATAAAGAACACATGTTGGTAAATAGGCATATGGGCTAATGAACTTCATAATAGCAAGCAAATAAAATAAGCAAATAGAATATAGATTTTCGTGCTAAAGAAATGTGATGAGTCAAATATGCAGTTAGCAGGTATAAACATCACCTGCTCACTAATAAGAATTAAGCTCAGCATAGGTCTGCTAAGACTCCACTGGTTGCCACAATCTTCAAATAAAACAATCTCAAATAAGGTCTTCAATATCTGCAAATAAATGAAGGAATTAAGTAACTCAAAATATTCCATAGAAAGCAGAAACAGAATAGTATAAAATTAAAATGTCATATTGGAAAATATATACAATGCACAATGATTCCCATATCAGTTGTTAAATCGAAGGTGAAGCTTTTTCTGCATCTACTAAGATGCCCATCCTCATCCCTAGGTATGGCATCTCTCGTTTACAAGATAGGCCAGTTGAATTACCAGGATGGTTAGGCCCTGTAGCTAATTATCCTCCAGATGATGAATGGAAAAATCCATTAGATATTGAACTATTGGTTCTAACCCATGTCTAGCTATAAGTCAACAATTCAAAATGCTTTTCTTCCATACACTAGATTAACCAATGTTTAGACAGAGTAGACCGATTAATTCGAGAAGAAACCCTTCGCATGCCTACATCTACAAAGTTGAAAAAAAGAAATCAAAACTAACACAAAATATATCTACTTTTTTGCTACCACCCACAAAGGGAAAAGTCTGATGGCTCAAAAGCTACAGTACCAATGAGAGCAAGAGCAACATCATCCCTTGTTTTTGAACACCTTTCGTTCACCTTGACACGTAGCAGGAATAAGTCCAATAGGATTGAGGTTTTCTCTACTTGGAAAATTCTTTTTCCCTCTTTGGTAAAAGAGGGCCAAGTGTGTGTCAAAGAGAAAATTCTAGAAGGGGAAGATATCGTCCATCAAGTGGAACAGAGTGTGACCACCAAGCAATTGGGGTTCTGACTGATCACTTAGGGGGTCCATGTCATCTAACACTTTTCCTGTTCTCTTAGAATAAGTAAGTTTGAATAGGATGACCAACAAACCGACGAGCTCATAACGAAACATTAGACAAAGCAATATCAGAAATTAAGGAGGACATTATAACCACATCAGGAAAAAAAATCCATACAATTTACATCAACAAACCACAGAACGAACTATATATCCTACACATTAGAACTTGAATGCAAATTTATAGGTTTATAAAAAAATTTAATTCAGGTATGTGAGCACATGCAACCGATAGAATGAAATTGGAGTACCTTTAAATCCACAATCATTTGACCTTAAAAGAAGCAAGTGGGAGAAAGAAATTGTAGTGGCTACCACAACTATCTGTACCACCACAACTATCTGTACCATCAACACTAACGTTTCACTAAATAAGAAAGGCCCAGTGGAAAAAAAATATTATTTCACAAGTTCTGTAGGATTAAACAACAAAAAAAANTTAAATCGAAGGTGAAGCTTTTTCTGCATCTACTAAGATGCCCATCCTCATCCCTAGGTATGGCATCTCTCGTTTACAAGATAGGCCAGTTGAATTACCAGGATGGTTGGGCCCTGTAGCTAATTATCCTCCAGATGATGAATGGAAAAATCCATTAAATATTGAACTATTGGTTCTAAGCCATGTCTAGCTATGAGTCAACAATTCAAAATGCTTTTCTTCCATACACTAGATTAACCATTGTTTAGACAGAGTAGACTGATTAGTTCGAGAAGAAACCCTTCGCATGCCTACATCTACAAAGTTGAAAAAAAGAAATAAAAACTAACACAAAATATATCTACTTTTTTGCTACCACCCACAAAGGGAAAAGTCTGATGGCTCAAAAGCTACAGTACCAATGAGAGCAAGAGCAACATCATCCCTTGTTTTTGAACACCTTTCGTTCACCTTGACACGTAGCAGGAATAAGTCCAATAGGATTGAGGTTTTCTCTACTTGGAAAATTCTTTTTCCCTCTTTGGTAAAAGAGGGCCAAGTGTGTGTCAAAGAGAAAATTCTAGAAGGGGAAGATATCGTCCATCAAGTGGAACAGAGTGTGACCACCAAGCAATTGGGGTTCTGACTGATCACTTAGGGGGTCCATGTCATCTAACACTTTTCCTGTTCTCTTAGAATAAGTAAGTTTGAATAGGATGACCAACAAACCGACGAGCTCATAACGAAACATTAGACAAAGCAATATCAGAAATTAAGGAGGACATTATAACCACATCAGGAAAAAAAATCCATACAATTTACATCAACAAACCACAGAACGAACTATATATCTTACACATTAGAACTTGAATGCAAATTTAGAGGTTTATAAAAAATTTAATTCAGGTATGTGAGCACATGCAACCGATAGAATGAAATTGGAGTACCTTTAAATCCACAATCATTTGACCTTAAAAGAAGCAAGTGGGAGAAAGAAATTATAGTGGCTACCACAACTATCTGTACCACCACAACTATCTGTACCATCAACACTAAAGTTTCACTAAATAAGAAAGGCCCAGTGGAAAAAAAATATTATTTCACAAGTTCTGTAGGATTAAACAACAAAAAAAAAAAAAATATGATGATTATCATTATATATGAAGGAAAATATAACTTGGTTATTATTTTTCTGTTTGAGAATAGACCTATAAATAGTCATTAATGTACAACTGATCTAAGAAGCAAATAATTTATAGATATGCGAAGCCTACTAATTTCTAGGATCAATGAATGCATAGGAAACTAAACATATGATAAATAACATGATTCCCAGTCAAAATTCTTTATTCTAGGTAGACCCCATTAGGTACAGTCTTACACAGCTATAACTAAGGCAAAGACCATTCAAAAGCAGAGAGCAAAAAGAACTAGAGTGCCAGTCTCGACAATAACAAAATAACAGCACCAAAGCAGAACAAATGGTCTTCATTTAAAAATTGAAGAGTAAATAATGGCTGCCAAAAAAAAAAAATACAACTACAAACAATTCCTCACCTCAGGAAACAAATTGGGGCACTCCGCAATGTGTCTTGCAAGATTAATTGCAGTAGGTAAAGTGGGAGCCTCCCCCATAGTTATGTTGTTGAAATAGAAAGCAGCCAAATTATCAACAGAAGAAGCACACTGAAGCAAGTAGTTAATGATAGGTCAATTAATAAATCAGAAAATAAATTGGAAGATAATGAAATGTCACACTCAGATGAGAAACAGCTGAACTGAAGTCATATGATCATGGAAGTTTAAAACATTTTGATGATCGCCATTCTACATAATAGTTTGCTTAATACACACCTGTGAAGAAATATTTGTATCCAGACCTTTGAGGCCGGATTCAAGAGAACCAACTAGGTGCATAAAGGTGTTTGTATCCAAATTCAATATAAAAGTGATGTGGCTGCTGAATAAAACCTCCAAGAATGCAAAGTATGCCCTTGTTAACTGCAAAGTAGTAAATGTGTTAGCTTATAATCCGTGAAAACATTGACCAGTTAACCAACTATACACCTTCAAACTTATCCACATAGACCTAGAAGAAATAACAATAGATTTTGGTATCTTTCATGAAATAATTCAGGCATGGTTTAAGAATAATATAATTTACTTTTAGAAGGCCATGCATATAACATAATGCTTCTCTATATGGCATGAACTGAATTAGTCTTGACATTAGCCTAAGAACTAAATTGCAATCACACCAAAAGTAGAAACATGGTATTGTAAGATTCAGTACACAGATGATCCATATTGTTTACCGTTGTAGATGCAATTATGAGAAACTTACCAAGTGTATAACAATGGAACAATGGTGTATGGTTATTTTTACGCCATGACTTCTTTTCAGAATGGAAAGACTTGAGTAGCATCTATCAATATCATTATACTACTTACCAGAATGAAANTACTTACCTAATCTGTGAAAACATTCATGAGATCATTTGGGGTATATTGAGGTAACAATGGGACGCCAAATTTCGCATTATCCACAAATTCCATATTTGGCTCCTCCTTCACTCTGTTACTATTATTATCCAAATAGATTTTTCCATGGTTCAAGTTGTTCATTGGTGATTCAAGTTCATCAATTGCCAGGCGACTTGGAATGCATGTGCCTTTACCAATGAATCCTAGATTTCTTAATGGTCCTTGATCAAGCACTTCACCTGATTTAACACCATTAGAAGTTTGGGTGTCTGAAACATTAGGAACAAGTCCTGGCACTTGTCTTGCAGCTCTAAATGCGATTGAATTATGAACTTGCTGATTTGTGCCGTTATCAGCATTTACCGAGCAAGACGATGCAGAAGGAGAAATTGAACCTGGAGCTGAGTAACCACTAAGAACACCTGTAGTTTTTAAATCACAGTCAGAGATTTGCCCAATATTAACTGAGTTATTTGGACTTGAGAGAAGACTATAATCAATAACAGCACTTCTATTATAGCTGCAATTCTGATTGACAGAAGCAGGACTATTTCCTGCCTGAAAACTGGCTGATGACCGAGATGGGACCACAAGACAAGAAGGTTGCACATTAATTGAACGGCTGGGTCCAGATAGAGTAGCATGTTGCTGTTGACATTGTTGCTGCTGCTGGTGCAGCATATCAATCAGCATATTACTGTTTTGGGGATTCATTCCACCAAGAGTGCTACCAGATGTCAATGTACCTGCACCAAGGTTATTAGGTGACCACACTCCAAACCCAGTAGGTACATCATCAACAGATATCATGGATTGAGGGAAATTTTTTGAAATGTTGGATTGGCATTTTATTAATGGCTGACCAAAAGTCACACCATGTTCAGCTGGAATACACTTGGACCCTTGTAGAGATGCTTGTAGAAGAGCTGGCTGGTCCATCGCGGTAACTAAGTTCCCTGTTGGATGACCTAAAAGTTCAGCATGCAGGGCTGCTAATGTTTGTGGAGGAATTTGTCCAGAGGCAGCCAAAGCTTGGATGTCAAATCGTCCAAGTGAACCAAGTTTCACATTCGGTTCTACAGGCCCAGAGAAAGTACTAGAAATTCCTCCTTGTTGAGCCACTCCACTTAATCTCTTCAAATATAGTCTGAATTTCTGCAATGTATTATCCTATTAAGTCAAAACTACTGAAATTAACATATAAGCAACAAAGATACAAAAGTAGAAATACAACTTTCATCCATAGTATGACATGTCAAATTGGTTGTCAGGTGACAGAAATTATAGAATGGCAATTCAGCCCATCAATCATTATTTTCTATACAAACCTATCAGTATATCATTAATCACATGTACCAATACAAAGACTGGGTGATAAAATCAACATTCACTAATCAATAATTAGTCAAAGTCTTCTATCTAAAACTGAAAAACAGTGTCCTATTTATATGGCAGCCAGTCTTAAATAGTATTAACGAATTTTCAATCATGGGTACATATGTATCCTTATCATATTGAAATGACTACCATTATTGGTATTAAACCAATAGTGATTCATACAAACTAAATCTTCTAATTGATAATTGGACTAAAAAAGAACTTTAAGTCGTTCATTATCTAATGGATTTTTCCGTTCTAATACTTCATCCGAGAGTTATAAGTATTTATCAAATCTGTTCCAACGGAATGCTATTGGATCAAATGACAAAGACATTGTTGAGAAAAGATGGCTTTTCCCAGATGAAACGAAAACTAGATGCATGTAACAGGAGAAAGGTTTGCCATTACTTAGCCGAAAGATATGTGGCCATGAAATAGGGATTAAGTGGAACAAAATTGACTGGGTGGTAGAGTCGTGATAAGAATTCTACTTCTACCCAAATAAGAAGCTCAACTTTGGACAAAAACAATCCAGCCAACACAAGTTACAAAATATTTAATTCTCAAAGCGAATAACTTCCTAAAATTACTACTAGAACTTAATTCTAGATTCCTTGTCACCTGGGGTATGCTAAAGTCGTAATTAACATGATGATCAAGCTAATAACATTTAAGCTCCAAAAAGAGAGAAATGTCACAAAAAAAACATGACAGTAGTTTTTTGCTAAAATAAATTAATTTAAGGCAATATCAGTTTTCACAAAATTGGTAGCAATGATCCTTCTTTCCAACTCTCCATTTTCCTTTAAAACTGAATGCCTTGCTTCTTCAGTTAATCGATTTATTTTAAGCTTCTACTGAAGAAAAAGCATCTCCTCTTCCTTTCAATTTATGTACTACAATAATATACCATTCATCTTCTTTAATGAGGATAAAAGAGAGATTAAAATAAAAGAATAAGATATGCAATGGTTAAAATTTGATTTGAATGTAAGAATCAAACCTGCAAATGGCTTGCAACATTTTCTCTAGTTAAGCCAGGTACATTCATCAATTCAAGAATTCTCTTTGGTACAGCCTCTGTCATAGCAGACAATGTTTTTAATCAGCAATGGTATAGAAGCAAGGAACATTCAAAAAATTATTTCAGAGATGAACAAGAAATGTATAGCATCTTCCCTATTTGACCAAACATATAATGCATCAATTGAAAGGAAAACCTATAAAAAGATTTCAGTATCGTACTATCAATCCCAAGCTGATTTACTGCACCAACAAACTGCTGATGTAGTTCCACTGACCACACTACACGAGGTTTCTTTGCTGTGGAGGGATCATCGTTTTCAAGTTCACCGTCATCTTCTTCTTTACCAATGCTTCTCTTCTTCTGAGCTTTCAATGTTCCTTCAGTTCCTTCATCAACAGAAGAAGCGTATTCAACTTCATCACTTGCTCTTTTTTGGCGATCATTCTCATCAAAGCTGCCTCCTGAATGTTCAATGTCTTTATTTTCATTCCACTTTTTCCGGACAACATGCTGCCATAAATTTTTAAGCTCTTCCTCACGTATAGGCTTAATCAAGTAATCACAAGCCCCATGTCTGATTCCCCTCAAAACAGAAGAGTATCTTCCATCAGCAGACATCACTGAAGCAACATTAACTTTAATGTCAATTTAAGAAGCAAAATAAAGATTCTATTACAAAGCAACGAAAATAATACTTACTGATAACAGGAAGATCCATTTCAAGTCCAACATGTTCAAGGAGTTTATAGCCATCCATATCAGGCATATGAACATCGCTTAGCACTACATCAAAACAGCCTTTACTCTGCCTTAAAGTGTTCAAGGCAACAGTTGCCTGGGAGCATGTTGTAACTGCAACCAATCCAACAAGAACATTGAATAAATTGACCAAAAGCTAGCATTGCAAAAATTATGCCATATTCGACAATAAAATATCCCACAAATATTTCTCATAAATTCTGAACATGGGAAATAATGCAGAACCAATAATGTATGATAGTTGATATTTTTACACACAGTCACACAGAGATCTCAAAATATCCTGGTAACCAAAAGAAAATCCAAAGTCTTTTCAGAGTCAGCAGCCATACAGCATACTAAAAACCTTCTTANTTTTATATATATATTTATTTTCCTTCGTTGTTAGGTAGGATTTTAGGATTATGCCCACTATAACCTTTAGTGGGAATTTTTAAAAACAATTGTCAAAAGAACTTTTTGATTTTGTTTTATTTTGAATAATTGGAAGTTCTACAACTATGAATTAGAAGAATTTGGTATTTATATTGTATTTGCTTTCATATAAATCATTTATTTTTCTTATATGATCATAAAGATAAAATATAAATACCTTATATATCGATCCTCTACTATTCTTTTGAAAGATAAATATAAATTTAATTGTCGAGAAATTCTAGTAAGAGTTAGGGATGAAGATCCCATTCTCGTTCGGCGAATATCTCGATTACCGTTCCCAACCTCATATATCATTGTCTAATACATAACATGAGTCAATTTAAGAGAGATTGTCAATTTTAAAAATAAATTATAACCTTTATAACAAATTCAAAATCAAAATTAGGAATGAGAATCTCGTTCTCATGTAATATCTATCTTTTATAATACTTGATTTTACGAGAGAGTTTGGTTTCTAAATCAAAACAACTTTATTTTTTTTCTAAAAATCCAGGTATCTCAAATATATGAATGATTTTAACTAAATGATAATTTTTTTTTTTAATCCGGAGATGTTTAGGTTAATTTACACGTACATTAATTAAAATCGGCGGATAATTAGGTTCCCTTACAACACATGTACATGACATCCAGGTTGTATCAATGTCGGTCCAACATAGTGTCAGGAATCAGGGATTTAGGATACATTGGAGCGTGTTCCACGCTTCACCATGTCTCGAGTGGGAGATGTTTAATCAATTTAACTGAATAAGCTAAGCTGCCAACGGTTTTGATGCGGTGCGTCGGTGGCTCTCTGGGCTTATTCTACAGCCGACAATTTTGTTACGTGGCCCTCCAAAATTTAATGATCTTTGCCTTTTTCAGCCCCAAGGAATTTTCAATTGATGGGAGTGATGAAAGATCGGTGATTGGGCGCCATTTCATATTTTAATCACCGAATTTGAGACGATTTGATGGAATCCTGGCCGTTCGCTTTATTCATTCAGGGGAAAATATGGGTCCCAAGGTCTCACATTCATTAAATTTTCAGCTTGATTTTAATCGTTTGATTAGATCTTGACTAGTTAATTTGTCATCTGCTTCTTTGTAAAATTGATTAATTTAAAATAATCTACGATTTTTAGAAATGATTGAAAACCCCCTTATTAAAGAATTTTTTAAAACTTTAACCCCTTTTTTTAATATATATAATTTTGAAGAGATTTTAATAATTTTAGAGAATAAAATGTTTTCTAAGATTGGTGGGTCCATTTTAAATTAAATGGTGGTTAAAGGGTATATTAAATAAACTCATAAAGAAAATCAAAAAAATATTACGAAATAAATAATAAAAATTTATCGATTCAATAATATTACTAAATAAATAATAAAAATTGACATAGAGTTATATTTTATATCCCTATAAAAAAAATTATAAAAACATCTATTGATATTTTTTCAGCATTCGAATTAAAAAAGAAGAATAAAAAAACTTTTAAAAGGAAAGGCAATTCGATTAGTTAGATTGAGAGGAATGAGAGAAATAAATGCCTCAAGATTCATATTATATTTGTTATTAGTATAAGCATCGGTATTTTGCTTAGTATAAGTAAAAATCAATACTCGCTTAACGTTTCTTGTACTAATTTCAGGACTATTAACCACATTTTCATCGGTTTCCCTCTATTTTTTTATTTTTTATTTTGTCTAAGTAAGACACTAATTTATACTATCAAAGCATTTTGAAATACTTTTAGAAAGTGAATTTTACAAAAGAAACCTCAAATTCACCGAACACCCATGAGAGTATTTAGGAAAAGTTGTTTGGTGGGAAAAAAGTTGCATTAGATTTCACCCTCTAAAGTACAACAAAGCATTGAAACTTTTTCTCAAGATTATTTAGAAATTTATGAGATCTCAAAGTAATACCCCATTTCACACTCCTTTTTGCATTTTAAAAGTAAACATGTTTTAGCACTATCTTTAAACCAATACTAAAATCTGAAAGATTCGATACTTTCAAAATCAATGGTTTTAAAAAGGGTTTTTAGTAACGTTTAACATTGTATTTGTAGGATATAAAATTACATATTTAACGTTTTGTATCACAAATGGGTTTAACTCATTGGACATCTTTATCGACATTATATTTGAATCCAAAGGACACCTAGGGCAACAGCTTTAGTAGAAAAATCACCTGCTTCCATGAATTTTGACAATAAATTAAGTAAAAGGAAATACATCATCCAATTCAAATGTGAGAGCTCTAAGCTTTGTTCTCTTTTTAAGGTCCATTTCATATATTTTTGTGGAGGATATAATTGTTGGGCCCAGCCCAATTGTTTCCAGCCTTCAGCCCCTGAACTGAAAATTGTGGTTTCAAACTATTGATCATTAATGTAGTTGAGAAAGTTGAGTGTCAACTAAGTTTATTATTTGAGTAGACACACAACTATAAGATTGTCAACTCTTAGAGCAATTTATTATCCATTCAATTACTCTCTATGTCCATTATTAGATAGCAAATGTTCAAAACAATTAATGATCTTGTCCGTTGTTGGACACACTCCTTACAGTTTTGTCTTCGACATAAACAATGCTACAATTACCCAAAAAAATACACCGGCATACGTGCCATCATCTTTTTTTCTTAAAAAACAAATTCATAATTAATGGATGATCAAGATAGTGCCACGTTTGTCAGTGCGTGAATTCGGTGTATTTTTTTCGGTAACTGTATTATTTTTCATGTTATATATCCTTAGCCTAGACCTTTTTTTTTTTTAATTTTTACATGAAGTATTCAGATTAACTTGCGTACACCTCAATTAATCTCTTAGGACCTTAAAATTATCGGTTAGATAAGAGCTCTAGTGGCCACCCAATTAACAATTAAGGTGAATCGAATTCATAACTTCTTAAGTAATATATTTAAAAGTCCTAGTTAACTACTCGACCATCCGATGGTGGTTAATATGTATAGTGTAGCGACTGTATTATTCAACAAAAGACTTATAACATCAAACAATGATTAACATCCATATAATATATGGTCCCTCATTGGTTCCCATATGTCAATTAATTTTCAATCTTTCCCATGTCTCAATGTGTAGCTTTCAAAATGGTACATAGATTCTGAAATGAAAGAGACTATCCAAGACCTTGAACAATCTTTTGAAACATTGTTTTCACAAGCATATATCAATCCTATTAATATGGACTGTTTTGTGTTGTCTTTTTGGAAAAGAAAAATGTAATTGAAATTAACATGAAATTTGTAACCTCCCTTATATGGTAATTAATAAACCTGTAATTGAAATTAACATGAAATTAAAATATGAAAACATTTGCCCCTTATTTAAGAAAATTTCATTTTAATGTGCCTTAAATATAATTCCTTAAATAAATTGTTTAACTAGGGTATCCCTCATTCATTGAATATTACACTTTTAAACATTATTTTCTGATTCTGTCATTGTATGACCCTGCCTTAAATACTCCCCTTTGTTTCACTATTATATCCCTATCCTATTCCACTATTCTATCCTAAAAACAAAAAAATGCATATGTTTCAATATTTTCAAAATCTAATTATACTTTATTCAACTTTCAAAATATGAATATTTACATTTCTTGTAAAGATAACCTAATTTTACTTTTTTTCAAAATACTATTCTAAAAAACATCAAATAATGAACCAAACGGAGTCTTTAAATTATTCGGCTGTGTTTGGTAGAGTATTTAGAGTAATATTTTTGAAAAAGTTGAGTTGGGTTGTTATTACGAGAATAAGATTTGAAATTAAAAATTTGTTTGGTAAATTTTTTGAAAATATTTTCTAAAAATATTTAGAATATTTTTAATCCTTTATATTTGTTAATTTAGCTAAATAGCCCTTACAATAAAAGTTTTAAAATTAAAAAAAACACCCCAATCCACCCATTAAATGCTAGCAGTCGGCCACCACCGTCGGACAGTGGTCGGAAGACGCCGGAATGATGCATGACCGGCCGGATCAGGCCGATAATTCGTCGATCTAGCATTTTTTGGCCAAAGATCTGGTCGTTGATGACAGTCATATCTTGGCTGTCGTTGACGACTAGATCTGGCCGTCAGCAACTAGATCTTTGGCCATAGATTTGGCCTTTTCCTGCCAGATCGGCACACAACCAGCCATATACAGCTATTCGTGCACCATTCCGATAGATTCCAGCCACCTTCTGAAGGTGGTGGCGGTTTCCGGGAATATGTAGGTGGGTGAGGGTGTTTTTGTTAATTTATAAACTTTTATTGTTGGGGATGTTTAGTTAAATTAACAAATCTAAGGGGTTAAAAAAATTTAAATATTTTGAGTTGAATATAATATAATTGGATTTTGAGAATATTGAAACAAATATGTATTTTGAATATGATTGGGTAAGATAGTATTTTGAATAATAAAACAAACGTAACCTAATTTTCCCCCTGATTTTTGGGTCAAGTGTTTACACTTTACATTACAAATAATTGGCATTATAGTAAGCCACTATGTTTACAACGTTAGTCGATTTCATTCGATTTCGATTTGAATTAAATTATAAATTAACGATAATTTTGTAAGGTTAGGTAATTACTTAAATCGGAAACACTATTTTCGTTTCGAATAGAAGTATCATATTTACCTTGAGGATCAAAACATTTTGCATAAACATATCTAGCAAAGATCTTAGTAGATAAGATTTTGCTCAACATTCTTTATATCTCAAAACCCTATTTTTTCTCTACAATTTACCCAAAACATGGAAACATAATGATCATATAACCATATTATTTCATCTATAATTATATGATCATATAATTAATCCTTTTCTTTATCCTTTTAGCTATCAAGATTCAAGAGGTATAGTTCAAGCTCCATGTATATATTTTTATATTTATGCATTAATGTCAATAATTTTTTTTTCCCCTTTTAGAGTCATTATTCTTGCATTCTAAGATAAGAAAAGAAAATATTATCAAACGGGTACACATATAATTATCGATTATTACTAATTCAATAACATTATAGATCCGGTATTGTACTGTAAATGACGGAAGATAATCATTAAAGTTTAAAATAAGTGGGAATTCTAAGTAATTTCAAGTGCATGCACACAAACTATTTGCATGGAAGTTTGATAATTTATTTATTAGCTTGATGAATATAGACATGGAAATTGGTAGATCCAAAAATGGATTGATTGATTTGAGGTCTTAGTTTAGTGGTAGGGTCTTTTTGCCACTAGATGCTTTATTCACACTACAATTTTATCAATTCCATATATATATATATATTAATGTTGTTTTTTGTTAACCCTACAAAATTATCAAAGTTTATAATATTGTTTTGCTTCAAAGAAGCCTCTTTTTGGTTTTTTTTTTTTTTTTTTTTTATATATATATATATTTTTTTTTTATTTAAAGCCCTAATCAATAGATAAAAAAGGGATAAACTATTCCCAATGATCAAATATCTAATTCCACCAATATAATAATTAAATTAATATTAATTTATATATATAATATTAAGTGACAAAAGCCATTTAAAGATGCTTTTAGCCCCACAAAAATATTAAATTTTTTTGTGTGAAAAAAATTTAAGAAAATAAAAAAGGGTATTCTTTTGAAAAACTTAAATTTATTCTTTGTTAGGAAATAAAATCAATGTCAAGTAATATAAATATTAAATATATTTCTTAAAATATTGGTCTAATATATACTATAATCTCAATGAGAATCGCCCAAGATCTTCACATGGGATATATTTAATTTAATTTGAGATATTGTCATATTATTTCCTATATAAGTATAACAACCCATCACCCATCCATATTGCAATTTTTAAATAGAAAAAGTAATATTTTATTTCAAAATTAAAAAAAAAAATTCATCAATCATCAAAGAGTAATTGTATTTTTTATTTATTTTTAATTATTGTATCATATATGAAATCGTCTAATTAAACAATATTACGTAATATTATAAACTGTCAGAAATTTTTTTTTTATGCAACTTATACCAACTATCAATAAGAGTGTGCTATATGGTCGCATAGTTATATATGTATACATTATACAATATTTTTTCTGTTATTTTTTTTTTTAATTTATTTTTCTACTCTTGTAAAAGAAAGCTTTCAAAAATAGAGTGGAAAAATAAATTCCAAGAAGGAGTTTTGTGTAATTTCATGTCTCTATTTTAAAAAGAGTACGAAGAATAAGGGGATAGAAAGACAGGCGTGTAAGGAAATGGGTCCGAGCTCACGAAAGTAAAGCACGAAACCAATAATAATACTCCAATTTGGTGGCCCCACTCTATCATCCTTACTTTCCTCACGCGCTCTCATAACACTCTCCCCACTCTCCACTTCCCATCCATCAACTTGAATTTAAACTTAATTATTGTAAGGGTATTTGTTCATAAATCTTAAACATTTTAAGTTATTATTATTATTATTATTTTTAAAAGTAAGACAAGATATAATTGAAAAATAATATGAAATAAATGTATTATGCTACATATATATCGATCCCATAAAATTCCAAAAATTTAAGTAGAATAGATGTATCACGTTATTTTCATATCAATTCGATTAAATCTGATTATAGATAATATCTCAATTAAAACATTTTTAATAAAATTTTACTGTAAATATGCTTATTTTTCTTTTGCTTGCTTAACCATTATAGAAATTTGTAAAGTAAATATATATACAGTGAACTTTTATTAGATAAAACATATATAATACGATAAGCTCACACCCGAAGCTTTTTCTTATTAAGTATTTAAAGAAAAAATTAGTATCTTCTCTAAATTCTTAAATATTATATTTAACTCATTTTTGTTGTTTTCATTTCATAACAATATTTTTTTAGCAAAGCATTAGACATTAATTTCATCAATATTTATATTATTTACCATAAACATAAAAACTTATATAGTAATTTATTCTGGCTTATAAATACAAATTAATTTATTAACGTATTTTTTTATTTATATAGTAAATATTAAATAACATGAAATTTATTAACATATATTTTTTTTTTTATATAGTAAATATTAAATAACATTAAATTTATTACTGTCCAAATGTTCCCGCGTGGAAACATGTGCGCGTGGGGAACAATATCTGTTTTTTGAAAACAGAAAAAATGTTTTCGCTATTACATTAAAACAGTAGTGTGAGTGAGTGAAGAAGAGTTGCATTTTCATTACAAGATCTTTCTCTTTGCTGTCAGAACAAACAAAACTCTGAACCCAAAAACGCTTTGCAAAAACACTGTCACTTGACCGTTTCATTTTTTGGCAAGAACCCGAAGCAGAAACAGTGAAAACAGTAGCATCAATCTGCTTTTGTTTTTCACAACAACAACAGAGCCCGTTTCTCTCTTTTCGTTCTGGTTAAGGATTGCCACTGCTCCCTCAGCTCAACTGGATTCCTCCAGGTATCCCGTTTTCGTTTCTTTTGTTTTTGTTTTTGTTTTTTTGCTTCCAAAAACCAGTCTTGCAATCTCAGTATGTCTCTTTTTGGAAAACAAAATTCTGGGATTTGTTCTGTTTGTTTCCGTTTTCAGTGGGTTTGTTTTTGTTTTGTATAATTTTTATTTTTTAAATTTAGAATTTGGATCTAGTTGAGAACGTGGGTTGGTGATGGTTTTGCTAGCTAAAGTTTGGTTCTTTAGATCTGATTGAGCTAAAATGTGGAAACTTTATTAACAAAGAGCGTCTATGATACTTGTTTATCTTCAGATTAGTTCAATTGGCTTTAGATTTATTACAATTGTAGAGATTTTGTATGTTAATTTGTCAAACCGATGTGATATTTTTAGGTTATTCAAATGCTTGAAATTGAAGCTTTGTAAGTGGGAATTTTATTTATTTAAAGGAATAAAGTAGTGTTTGAATTTGAATACAGTAGCTTGTCAATTCCTATGATAAAAAGAATATGTGAAAATTGAACATATTTGGATGAGATGGCAATTTTGTGAGTTATTTAATTTGGGAAATATGTGACATGGACATTTTTGGGGAGATATGAGGATTGACTATAAATGAGTATGCGTTGAAAAAGGGCATACTAGAAAACAAGGAGCTTTTGTTTTCATTGTAAAAGAATTGTAAGTTTCGCAAGTTGCAATGCGTCCAAATAGATCAAAATTTGATAGCTGAATATGCTGGAATTATGCTTATTAAATGAGTGGCATGTGAAGTTAGTTGCATAATCTTTATTTTGATGGTCATGACACGTTGACGTTTATTTATGAAAAGGATAAGTTTCTGATCCATAGCAGTTATTGGTTTCCTTCATTTTGTTTGCTTTATGATATTCTGCTGGGTTTTGAATCAATTTGTCATCATTATGCAGTGTTGAAGTCCTCAACATATTCTAGTTGACCAGTGAGAAATTGACGTGACGCTCCATGAACTTTGGGTGGTTAACTATCTAAACATGGATAAAGTATCTCCTGATTGTCCATACCCAGGATGCTTTTTTTGTGTTATGAAGGAAGGAAATCCAAGTAAGCGCAGAGCAAGTATATTGAAATTCTTCAGAGAACTACCCTCGCAGGATGATGATGGGCAGGTTTTACCAATCAGTGGCCTATGGAACACTGCTATGGCACATCCCAATGATCCCGAATTCATAGAGTTAGGAATATTTGAATGCATGTCTTCACTAATATGTAAGGGTTTGAAGAACCGTCGCTGGCTTTCTCATGACCAGAATATATACATTCCTTATTATGCAGCGCACATTATTGGATCCTATACTATGAACATGGAAGAATTTGCAGAAAGTGCTGTTCATGCTGGGGTAATTGCTCCTTTAGTTGAACTTTTGAGAGGGAGGTTGACTTGGGTTGAACAGAGAGTGGCAGTGCGAGCTTTAGGGCACTTGGCTACATATTCCAGTACCTTTCCTGCTCTAGCAAGTCAAGGTGAAATCCTTGAGCTGTCCATACAACTAGCAATGAGTTCACTAGAGATAGTTTACTCGCATTTCTACCAGTATGTTGATAGGAGGCTGAGTTATCACTGTGATCTGCTAACTCGTGGCATGGGTGGTGTTGAAATGGAATCCCGGAAGGCAGAGGAATGGGCCAGTCAGTTGCAGTGCTGGTCCCTTCAGCTCATTAATTGTTTTGCTTTTAAGCCTGAGTTTCTTCCTGCGATCTGCAAACCTGAATTTCTGACTAAACTACCAGGCATGTGGGGAGGACTTGTTAACGAAAACTCACCAGCTGGCATTGGTTTATTGAGAACAATTTGTCACCATAAGCTTGGTAGGGGACCTGTTGCTAGCTGTCCTGGCCTTATTGAAGCATTGTGCAATATCGCTCGATCTTCAGATGATTGGCAGTATATGGCGATTGACTGTCTCCTTTGGTTGCTCCAAGACCCAAGTACATGTCATAAGGTATTTTTCTCATCAGCTAGTTTGTTTTAACTCTAATCTCACACTCGTATCCCTTTTGCTGTGTGTGTCACTAAATGAAGTTTTGGAAGGCAAGTTATAAAGCTGGACTAATTTTTCTTTGTTCTCAATGGGCATGATTCATGGGTGTGTCGTCAAGGATCCTACCATATTATAAGTTATAACCATGATAACTGACATTTTTAAGATCTTTGTGAGTTTCTGAGTGAAGCTTAAATCTGATTTCTATGTTTAGTAGTTTGGTAATAGTACTTTCGCCATGAATGCTTTAACAATTGTGTTCGACATAAGAGCATCTGTTTCTACTTAGTATGACATAATCTTGCTTGTTTTTAGGTATTCTTTAATTTAATATGGTGGAAGAATCACTTCAAATAAGGTGCATTGTCCAGTTATTAAAATGACTTTCTGGTGCTAAGGACTTGTACCTAATTATGTCCGATATATTTCAGTAGATTCCCATTTCCTTTCTGGTGGTTACTTACCACTAATTATTTGATTTGGGTTTTAGTATATTAACCATGCGATTTCCACTTAATGCTTCTCAATCTGTCCATATAGGTGATTGATAAGGCAGTACCTGCACTTGTAGATCTGGCGGAGATAACAACTCTGGGTGATCACAAAAAGCTTGGGGATTCTATTGTTAATGTTCTTCAGGAATGTATCCAATCGCAAGGGACAGGACGTAACTCTATAAATAACCGCACTAAAGAACAGATTGAAGAACTATTAAGCTCCAGACAGAGATTAAAGTGGGAAAAGAATATGCCAAAAGAGGATCTTCATATCAAACAGGCAGCTGCGCTGGTAGTCAAGCTCGAAGGAAATTCCCTATTCTCATCAGGAAATATATCCGGAGCTGCATCAAAATACTCAGAAGCTTTGGCCTTATGCCCAATGAGATCCAAAAAGGAGAGAGTTGTTTTGCACAGTAATAGAGCTCAGTGTCATCTCCTGTTGCAACAACCCTTGGCTGCCATAAGTGATGCTACACGTGCACTTTGTCTTCACAACCCGCTTAACCGTCATGCCAAAAGCCTTTGGAGAAGAGCTCAGGCTTTTGACATGCTTGGCTTAGCTAAAGAGAGCTTGTTAGATGCCATTCTATTCATCAATGAATGCTCTCAATCAAATGACCCTGATCTTTCTCTGAGGCAAAATAAGGTCCCTGACTATGCCGAGAGATTAGTCAAGAAGCAGATGCGTGCAGCTTGGTTATTTAGAGAGGCAGCTATTAAACATGGAGGTGTCCATTGTGACGGTGATGCTGGGGACATATATGGCCAGGACACTGATGGTTCTGAATGGGAGACAGCAAGCGAAAGTGATATAGGAAATGATGGCAGAGATGAAATGGGTGATGAAGATGATGATAGCGAATGGAAGAATGAGGATGAGAGGAAAGATAAATATGATAAGCCACCAATGAAAGGTATAATTCAATGTCTCAATGCTCTGTAAAAAAATTAGTGCTTTGGCTTCTGTGAAAGAAAAAGAAGAAATTGTTATATTTTTAGAGTTATATTCAACCCCTGATACCGCTTAACTACCAGTTCTTTCTTGACAAAAGTAGACTCATAAGATTTAGGCAAATAGGTTTGATTAGCCAAAAATAACTATCAATAATTGCTATGCTTAGTTTTATTTCGACCTGCGGATATTAATAGACAGCCTTTTCTTGTTCTTTTGAGCTAAATAGCATAAGAAAGGTCTTTGACCATGAACTTCACGTTAGGGTTCAGTTTCAAATATCCAATATGCATAACATCATGCGTTTGGTAGGATTTAAAATCTTCCACTGTCATACTGGTACATGGAAGAATAAAAAAGTATTAAATCTGTCATGTATGTCAACCTAAGAGTTTTATTTGTATTAATGACATTCTATACAGTATAGCAACCTGTTTTCGAACAATCGTTTCTCGTATTATTCCTGTGCATGTTCATCATATATATTTTGTTCGTGATGACCTTTTGTATTTTCTTGTTCAGCTTGATGTCTACTGCTACAACTTTTTTATCCGATGGATGTTCTATAATGTGTACATGTTTGTTCGTTGGATTCCTAAACATTGTATTGGACCCTTGATTTGGTACAGACATAAAGAATGCATACAATGTGCAGCTTGTGGACGATGAAACATGAATATCAGAATCTAGACATGTTTACCAACATTGACTTAAGGTACCATCTTTTCTTAACGCGCTACAGTGAGTGTTGCTCTATTGTGTTAGAAAGAACTTGTTTTGTTAGTTTTCTTGCTTATTTTTTTCCTTTTTGCTTTCTCAATTTGTTCATGTCAATGTTAATTTCAGTTGTAGAAAATGAGCCTGAGTGTGAGTATAGAGAAATTTTTTTTTTTTTTTCTTTCAGTCTAGAAGTTTGAGTTGTTTAAAGAGTATTTTGTATATAGAACCCTAAGGGATTTTTGTCATTGAACTATCAATCATCTGAGCAATGAATTATAATTTGCTTTTGTCATCTTCCAAAGAACTTAAACCCACTACAGAGCAATGATTTATTGCTAATTTAAATCAAACTTACTACAATTAAATCACATAAAAATTAAACCAGTTAATAAAAAAAATCAAACAATTTATAGATTTTGAAGGAATAGACACTGAATCATTTAGAGCCTTTCAAACTGGAGACTCAAACCTTTCAGGAAGCATAGCAGACTGCCAAGAACACAATATGCATAGGATTGGCTACCTGAATGGGGTCTTTTATCCTGGTTGGAGGAGAAATTACCAAACGTCTAGCATTCTCTCACACTTTAGTGCAAATGAATGAAATAAGCATCTTCTTCCTGAAGAATTTGAAGAATATTTTGGAAATTCTTATGATCTCCATTTAACGGGGAGACACATAAACAAAGCGAGCTGTCTGCCGTATACTTTTGTAAGTTTGCTAATGCTCAACACTCCATTACTTTCATCATAATCATCTTCCAAAGAGAGCCATTGATTAATGTAACATATGTTATTTGTTTTTAGATCAATAAGATAATGGTTACCATCACGAGTATATAAAATAACCCTTTATAGCCCCAAGCACCAAAGTCTTTAACCTGAATTCTTTTACCCAGTTGCATTCTTTTGTACGATAATCTTTCACCACCTCTATCTCCATCGCTCCATTAGATATAACATATTAAAATTGACAGTTGCCAAGGATCCCCTCATATNTGCTTATTTTTTTCCTTTTTGCTTTCTCAATTTATTCATGTCAATGTTAATTTCAGTTGTAGAAAATGAGCCTGAGTGTGAGTATAGATAAATTTTTTTTTCAGTCTAGAAGTTTGAGTTGTTTAAAGAGTATTTTGTATATAGAACCCTAAGGGATTTTTGTCATTGAACTATCAATCATCTGAGCAATGAATTATAATTTGCTTTTGTCATCTTCCAAAGAACTTAAACCCACTAGAGAGCAATGATTTATTGCTAATTTAAATCAAACTTACTACAATTAAATCACATAAAAATTAAACCAGTTAATAAAAAAAATCAAACAATTTATAGATTTTGAAGGAATAGACACTGAATCATTTAGAGCCTTTCAAACCGGAGACTCAAACCTTTCAGGAAGCATAGCAGACTGCCAAGAACACAATATGCATAGGATTGGCTACCTGAATGGGGTCTTTTATCCTGGTTGGAGGAGAAATTACCAAACGTCTAGCATTCTCTCACACTTTAGTGCAAATGAATGAAATAAGCATCTTCTTCCAGAAGGATTTGAAGAATATTTTGGAAAGTCTTATGATCTCGGAGAAACATAAACAAAGTGAGCTGTCTTGTGTAACCATATACTGTTGTAAGTTTGCTAATGCTGATCACTCCATTACTTTCATCATAATCATCTTCCAAATAGAGCCATTGATTAATGTAACATATGTTATTTGTTTTTAGATCAATGACATAATGGTTACCATCACGAGTATATAAAATAACCCTTTATAGCCCCAAGCACCAAAGTCTTTAACCTGAATTCTTTTACCCAGTTGCATTCTTTTGTACGATAATCTTTCACCACCTCTATCTCCATCGCTCCATTAGATATAACATATTAAAATTGACAGTTGCCAAGGATCCCCTCATATTGATCAATGAAAACTTTTCATGAGTAAATGGATTGTAGTCCTCAAAATTTGGATCAGGAGTCAACCTGAATTCCTCCTTTTTGAAATCGATTTTGCCTTTTCCATGAATCATCCAGTGCATGTCTCCATATGCAGTCACTCCACAAACACTTATCAAACATAGAAAACAATAGGGGATTAAGAAGACTCCTCGCCATGATTTGTGCCCGAAGTGTAAACTTCAGCTGCACGCATTTAACATGTACAAACATTTGGACAACTTTGTATGTTTTAGTTGTACGTTCAAATCCCATTCTGTTCCATATTATCTTCATCAGTTCTTTATTGGCCTTCCAAACTTCACCAATTGGCGGCGGTAGCTCCAAAACTTCTCCTCTGAGAGGATTCAATAGAAAGGCTAATTCAGAACGTCTGTTTTAAATGCATGATAAACCATGAGCAACGTGACAAAGATGATAGTTTTTTCTTTTCTACATTATCCGAAAACTCTATTGCAGGATCAGCATCCTCATAAGCGAATGCAATTTCTTTATAGACATCATCGCTATAGGAGGAGTATGGCTCTTCAGTACAGGCCAATTCATGCTTGTTAGCGAATGAAACGCTGTCAATAATGTTGCAACACTTCTTTTTGACACATATCGAAAACGCATAAGTGATTTTGCAGGTAATTTCAGAAAAATATTGTGGACGATATGAGTAAGAATATTAATATTAGCACTTCTGTTGCTTTCCAAAAGAGCTTGAGCAATTAGAGATTTCCATTAATCCCCTAAACTCAATCTGAAAAGAACCGATCGATCTGTGCAACTGTATCCTAACCATACATATTATAACCTTACAAACCAGACAAATATTAAATTCACTTGACCTAAATTGAATCGTGAGCAAGAAACGACTATACATGAAGTTAACAGGTTAAGAGAAAATCTAACCGAGACAGACAATTCAACACATTCATTAGCAACATGAACATTAAGTAGAAGATTATGAATCTGAAAACTTACAGTAGTGAATAGTGGTGTTGTTTTGGAGTATATTACAATGAAACCTAAGAAACACCAGCAAGAACGTATAGGGATATGTTGTTGATACAGAAAGTCTTAAATTATTTGGGAGGATTTTTTTTGGGAGAGAGTTTTATTAGGCTTATGCTTTCTGTTATATTTTCATGCTGACCTTTTCATTTCTTCAAAAAATATGTATATGTATAATTTTCTTTGAGTAAAAATCAATTTACCCCCAATCATTTCAGAAACTAATAAGAGTAATGTTATAATTACAACTTCTTCTCACAAACTTTTTCTCACAACTTTGATGTTGTAGTTTGTCATTGGTCATCTCTTAAAATGGTTTCTGCCTACTTGTATGGGTCTCGTTTATCCATTTGTGAGCTAACCAATGAGAAATTGTCTTGATGAAGTTGTGACAGAAAGTTTGTGAGAAGAAGTTGTAGATGTAACATTTTCTAACTAATAATTACCCCCTAAAATCTTAACTCTGTCTAATTTCGGTTAAATATACAAGGGTACAATAGTAATTACGTCTATCCACTTTTTTTTTTCCTCCTTTACGTCTATCCACTTTTTTTTTTCCTCCTTTCTCCTCCTCATTTTTGTTCATTTTCTCCTCATCTTTTTTGTTTTCTCTTACAATACTAATTTTCGCCTTAATTTAGTTAGTTCTTGATATATTGCACCTTTTTTAAAAATGGAGAACAGAAGTAAAAAACGAGGGGGAGGAAGGAGAAAAGGAAAAGAGGAAATAAGTAATTACTATTATACCCTCATGCATTTAACAGAAAATGGACGAAGTTAGGATTTTAGGGGGTAGTTGATTAGTTTCTGAAACAATTGGGGGTAATTTGATTAAAATTTTGAAAATTTACATTTCCCAAACTGTAGGGGATAAATTATATTTCGAGGAAGCTGTAAGCATGATTTGCAATGGAGTTGCCAAAGTTTCTAAGAGAAACCACACTCTTGGTATAACTGAATACTGTTCTTTGACTACTTGCAAATGCTTCTATAATCTTTTAGCACCCATATCTCCATCTGTGCAGCCTCAGAAAGATATCATGGACGATATTAGCAGGAATATTAACATACCACTTTTGTTTCTTCTTTCCGAAGTATTTATGGAATTGGTGATTTCCATTAAGTTCATAGATTCTATATGAAAAAATCAATCAATTTAAGAACCTTAGAGAAAATATATAAGTATCCTATTTCCCGGGATTTTAGGAAAAATAAAATTGATTATTTTTCTAAAAAGTTATATAAATATTAAAATACTATAAATATTATTGCAAATTGAAAAGTTTCTACAAATTTGTACAAGATCATTCAACGCAATTCATGGTTCTCCTATTTTATTACATTAGTTAAAAGGAACAAGCCAATTGAGATAATTAAGAAAGAGATTTAACATATCCATTATTGGTTACAATTTAATCAAAGGTGACAAGCAAACAAAATTAAAATTCTAAGCTGATCATCGTTCTTTTAATTAGGCGATACATAAACATTACGAACTCTCTTGAGAAATTTGTAACTATGGTTTTCAACAGGATTGCCAAAGTTTCTAAGACAAACAAGACTCTTTGTATAACTGTAGACTGCCCTCTCATCACAATTATAATCCTCTTCCAGAATGTGTTGACTAATGTGATGTTTGTGATTCTTCTTTAGATCAATAACATAATGTTCATGGTGGCAAATATCAAAAAATAAACCTCCATAGCCCCACGCACCAAAGACTTCAGGTAAACACCAAAAACCTTGCCATGAATCTTCAAGTCTTATACTCTTGATACATAATTTGAATTCTCTTACCCAATAGTAATCTTCCTTATCATCATAATCTTTTAGCACCCATATCTCCATCTGTGTGTAAGATAGAATATTGACAATAGCTAGGGATCTCTTTATAGTAATTAAGGAAATTCTTTTATAAGGAGCGAATGCATTGTACTCTAAATTCGGATGACGAGTCCACTTAAATTCCTCTTTTTTGAAATCGAAAGATGCTATCATCCTTTCGTATTGTTTATCGTTTACATAAGAATGATGCATTCACACCACATAAATTTAGTGTACAAGAGGGGTGTGAAGAGATTTGTCGTCACGAATTCGTGCCCAAAGTGTAAACTTCAATCTCATATTGATGTCTATGAAACACCCGAACAACCTTGATTGTGTTTGTTGTATAATCAAATCCCATCCCATACCACAATAGCCTCCACATTTTATAGGTGTTCTTCCACACCTCATCAATTGGCTTCGGTAGCTCCAAAACTTCTCTGGTGAGAGGATTGAATAAAAAGACTGATTCAGGTTGTTGATGGCATCATCCATCTCGAATGCATAATAGACCGTAAGCAACATGGCAAAGTTGATAGTTATGCTTTTTCTCTAAAAATTCCAAAATGGAAGTTTCACTTTTCTTCTTTACATAATTAGTCTCATCATATGCAATGGAATGCAATTACTTCACTAAATTCAAAGTGAGAGGAGTATATAGAATTTGAGGTTCTTCAGCACATGCTGATTCGTACATGTTTGCAAAAGAAACGCTATCATTGATGTCGCAACACTTCTTTGACACACATCGAAAATACAAAAGTGATTTTGCAGGCAATCTCAGAAAGATATTGTGGACGATATCAGCAACAATATTAACATAGAACTGGTGTTTCTTCTTTCGGGAAGTACTTACACATTTGGTGATTTCCATTAAATTGAGCAGAAAACTATAAACAAGACACATTAAATTCACTTAACCTCGACTTAATAAGTTCATGCTATATATTATGATGAATGAAATTGTAGAAAAGAACATTATATATGAACTTAACAAATGAAGAGAAAATCTTACCGAGCAAGAAAACTATTCTAATCGACAATTGCTGAATATCCAATCGGTACTGTAGCCCTAAACAAACAGAACCACAGTAGAGATAATTAGTTAATAGATAATTAACAACATAAACATTAAGCAGAAATTCAATTTTAAATCAGAAAACTTACAGTACGCATAATATAAACAAGAAGAAACCGGGCAAAGTATATTGTTAGATATGAAAATCCTTAGTTTATTTGGGTTATCCTAGCAAGAAAATAGTAAGCTAAAGAGAGATCTTTCTTTTACGTTTACCCTTTTTTTTTTTTAATTTATTTATTTTTCCTTTATAGAGTTCTTTTGTTTAATCTTTGGATTCTTATTGCGATTTTTACTTCTTTCAAAACTGGATATATATAGAATTATTTTAGATTTAATAATTTTGGGATATATTCTTGTTGGTTTTTATTTTAAAACTAAATATTTCTTCTCTTTTAAGAGTTTTTTAGGTTTAATCTTTTTGGATATTTTCTTGTTGATTTTTACTTCTTTTAAAACTCTCCCTCCCTCCTCCTCTCTCTCTCTCTCTCTCTCTATATATATATACAATGGCGGATCCAGAATTTTTTTTTAGGGTGGACCAAAATGAAAACTAATTATATATTAATATTTTTGTCCATTAATAATTTTGTTAGGGTGGGTCAAAATCCAAAAATTATATATATTAATATTTAAAAAAAAATTTGAGGATGGACCATGAGTGGGCTGGATCCGCCCTATATATATATATATATAATACAAATAATAAAAAAGCTAAACCTTGGCTTGTTTTATTCTGTAGTTTAAATATCTCTTTAGGAAAGAAAGATAATTCATCTTAGATGAATTTTTTTAGAGTTCTCGTTTTTTTTTCTCTCAATTTTATGAAAATCTAAGAGAACCATTATTATGTATAATTAAGAATGGTAGTCAAGCAAAATATATCCACGAATGAAAAAAATAAAATTAATTACAACAGTAAACCCTCAAATGTTTCGTGCAATAGAATAAAACACTCGTAGATTTGGCCGCCATCTAGCGCGCGCTAGCCAGGTGACTTGGCCGCCGGACGGGAGAATTTTGGAATGAAAAAGAAACCAAAAGAGATAACGTCTATAACAATATTTAGATAAATTAATACCAGTTTTCAGTCTATAAAAAAATTCCTTTCGCTTTTTCAAAATTTTTGTTCTGTATAAAACGATAGCCTCTTTTGTATTTGAGCTTAGTATTTGTATGTAACAATATTTAGATAAGACAATTCTTATAAGAGTATGTTTGCCCTTTATGGAAATGATATAATTGGCATCTCAAAGTTTCGTATTATCTTTTTTGTGCAGTAGGTCCAGGGGAAGAGTTTTGCTAAATTTATACTGTACGGGTCAAACCAAAAACAAAATACTTTTTCTTAGTAGGTGTGATCCGTTGTACATGAATCCTTATTTTTTCAATTCTTTTGATTCCTTAAAATTTTCCCGTTTCTGGTGGTATCAAAATACCACTGTGTTGGAATATTTTAATTTGTCTCACCAAGAAAACGGATATCCCCAAAAAATATTTTTAATTCAATCCTTTTTTTTTTTTTCTCTCATTCGGACCAACCCACCCACGCTTCTTATAATAGTTAAAGTGATTGGCTTTTTGTTGAATATATGACTTGATAATTTTTGTTTTCATTATTATTGTTGTTGTTGTTATA